GTTCTGGTGGATTGCAGAACACAGCGGTACCAATTTAGCGAATTAATTACTATATTTACATATTTACATACACGTCAACCCCTTTGGACGTCTACCCGTATAATTTAAAGAGCCTCAAAAATCTGTCAGTTTTGCTAAAAGTCCGTACAACTCGCACCCGAGTTTTTAAATAAAGACAAAAGGCCGGTCACGAAGGTGATGATCTGCCCACAGCTGAGCTGCAGACGACACACTTCCACCTACAGCAGAACCGGACAGAGGGATATTTCAGGGGGTAGGACTCTGACATGGACCCAGTTCTTCCATGTTCTGCTGCTGTGAGCGTCACTCAGGGTTCTGCTCACAGGTGGAGGTGTGTCTCCACAGATCAGCACCGTCCTGAGCTTACAGCTTTTATTTGTCTCCAAAAACTCAGTTTAAAACGTATTTACCTTGTCAGAGCCTGTAGGACGTTGAAAAACAATTAACAGCATCAAATATTATCCATATCCAACCCACTGTGTTGCTGGAAGTAAGTTCTCCCTCCTTTTCTTCTGGTTTTGCGACAGCTGACAGCCCCCCCACCCCACCCCACCCCACACACACACATATGGAACCACAGCAGGCCTTGCTGTGACCTCCTACCCGGCATGAAAGCACTGACAGACGGCTCAGTCTTCGCACATCATCGCTCCCAGCTGCTGGTAGAAAGTTCTCCCTCCTTTTCTTCTGGTTTTGCGACAGCTGACAGCCCCCCCACCCCACCCCACCCCACACACACACATATGGAACCGCAGCAGGCCTTGCTGTGACCTCCTACCCGGCATGAAAGCACTGACAGACGGCTCAGTCTTCGCACATCATCGCTCCCAGCTGCTGGTAGATATTGATCAGATGCTGCTGCTGACTGATCCATGATGGGATGTAAATGTAACATTGTCTAAAGGTAAAATTAATCACTGCAATAAAATAATTGTTTTGTCACTTTTACATGGATTTCATCAGTTCTGTTACATTACAGAAGGAAGCTTCACTGACGTGAAACATAAATCTGTGGATCTGTGTTTGATTATTCTGGCTGGCTTTCTCGAGGACCAGGATGTCTGGCACTAAAATCTGAAATTTAGAACTGAAATTGAATTCTAGAACTGAAAGTGAAAGTAGTCAAACTGAATTTTTAGTAGACCAAAATACAGTTTCAAAGCAAATTAATTCAAATTCAAAACTTTAAATTCAGTTTTAAATCATTGAATTCAGTTCCAATTAAGTAAAATTCATTTTCAAACCAATCAATTTCAAATTATGCACATTCAGATTCAATCTGAATAAATCAAACTCAATTCCTGCTGGCACAAGATTTATCCCATAGGTATTGTATAATGTTGCTGCTTTTTTATTATTATTGCAACAAAATACAATGCACCTAAGACCAGTTGTAAAGGSCATGAAGCTGTTGTGATGATGTGCTGAAATGGGCATGACTGAAGCAGTAGGTTCTTAAAAACACAGGCCAATATCAAGGTGTTTAGAAACGGATGTGATGCAAAGTCAAATTGATTTTTGATTTAAACATATAAACAGCATTTTCATAACTGAAGGTGACATAGTTACTTTATTTTGGTGTAGAATTTAAACACATGCCTGAGAAACATAACACTGGCCCTTTAGGGGCAGATAMTGTCATGAATCACATCTGTATTTTGCTAAACCTAGTCATGTCATGTCTTCCTGCCAATTTTCCTCCTCGTTGTTTCACCCCACCCGTCACAGAAATCCCAGTCAGCATTTTGCCACTCACCTGATGTCTCTATAACTCCACTCTCCCACAGCACCATCACAAGATAAATAACAGTTTTCCATGTAGTTGTCCAGCATTCTTCATGTTACGTCTTGTCTGCCTCGTTACGACCCTGTTTCCGCTCTCTGGTTTCACGTCTCCTGCCTCGGCCCTGAACGGTACTGTATTGATCTCTGATCTCCTGGTTTTGACCTCTGCCTCCTGTCTTCGCCCTCGTCTGACCTGTTCAGTCTTCTGCCTCCTGGATTCTGACCCATGTGTACCCCGACCAAGAGGTAAGTCCACTCCTAAAAACCTGGTTTCGTCTTCTGTTTCTATGTGTATAACCCAAGCCTGTTTCACGGAAACCCCTCAAGTAAACAAACTCGACTCAAGTTCGCGACCTGGAAGTAACATCACCGGACTACATCCGTCTTTTAAAACTAATCAGGTGTCTGGCGTTTCAGTAAAACTTGGTTTTGGCTGTGGTTTTGGAGACCACTCTCCGCTTTGCGCACAGAGTCCAGGCGCAGGCGCGCAGAGCGGAGGAGAGAGA